TTATGACATTTCGGTGCTACGGTCAATACCATTTCAAGTGACAAAATGTTGCAACACACACTACTAACAACGTCTTTAAATCATTTCTTAAATGTTAAAAATGGCTGCCCACGCCTGGCGCCCTCGCCGCCGCCGGATGGAGTCGTCGGCACCGTCAGCCTCACGGTGAGGCGATCACACATTAATGAGACTGTGCGAAGCCGAGAGAGCTAAGCGCCGAATTTTTTTGTAACATCGATATACACGCGCTTAACTCCTTAGCAACCAACCATCTAAACAAAGAGTTAAGAGCGCGACCGTAGCAACGGCCGTTAAAATGCTCGAAAGGCCCCTTAAAATGATTTTATTTCTTTATAATATTTTATGACATTTCGGTGCGAAGGTCAATCCCATTTCAAGTGACACAATGTTGCAACACACACTACTAACCAACTCTCTAAATCATTTCTTAAACGTTAAAATTGGCTTCCCACGCCTGGCGCCCTCGCCGCCGCCGGATGGCCATCCGGCGGCACCGTCAGCCTCACGATAAGACTTCGGAGTACTAATATCCTCATGTTATATTTCACTAACCCCAAAAATTGGATTATTTTCGCTGAAATAACTAAAAGGTCTTGTGATGTTTGAAGCGAACTATTTTCCCACAATACATATGTTTCCATTTTCATCAACGAATGGTGGATGGTTGAAATGATGAACAGATGGCGGTCGGTTAAAATCCTTGACAAATGGTGGACTGTTAATGTGCTTTATGGATGGGGAAATGTTAAAATACTTAACGGACGGTCGACTTCTAAAATCCTAAAAAGAGCCGACCGTTACAGGTGTTTTTGTTATTTATGTCCATAAACACGCTCTTAGCCCCTTAGCAACCAATTATCTAAACCAGGAATTAAGAGCATGTCCATTGCAACGTCCGTTAAAATGGTCAAGAGGACATGAAAAATAGTTAAGCCGACTTTTGAGTTCAGATTTTACCAGTGCGCATAAATCTTTGGTTAAATATGTCTCTGCGACAAAACAGATTTTGGGGAAATAAATGTGAACAAAATTTATTTTTCCAATTGTTTTGGTACAGATATATAACGCTACATTTTTTTAAAATTTCCACTGAATGTAATGGCGTTTGAAACTGACATTTATTTTCGTTAGTGTTAGAAGAAATCGATTCTGAAATTTTGTCCATCTTCTCCCTTTTGTCCCTGTCGTCTTTCTTGTCCTTTCGTTCCCCTTGTCTTATTTTCCCCTTTGTCCCCAATATTCCTTTTTGTCTCGTTGCCCCACTTCGTTCTGTCGTCTCACTTGCTCCGTTGCCACACTTTGACCCGATCTGACACTTTGCCCCGTTGTCCCACTTTGTCACATTTTCCCATTTGGTTCCGTGGGTTCCCAATTTTTTCCTTTGCCCCATTTGTCTCCTCTGTCCCATTTCTGCATTTTCCCCACTTTTATAGATGTCTTTATGTGTCAAAATGTCCCGCTTGTCCCATTTTGTCCCACTTATCCCATTTCTCCTCGCTTGTCCCCATTGCCTCATTTGTCCCTTTCCTGCCCCTTGCCCCCCCATTTCGCCCTCTTGCCGAGCGCCGCCGTGTGCTTCCAGATCCCGGGCACGTACGGCAGCACCATCGTGAACGACCTGCAGCCGTTCGCCATGTACGAGATCGCGGTGGTGGCGCGCAACCTGCACGGGGAGAGCCTGCCCTCGGAGGCCGTGCGCGCGCTGACGCTGGCGCCGGCCGACGCGGGCGCCGAGCCCCGGCGACGCCGCGCCTCGCGGGCTGGCCACGCCCCCGCCTCGCCCGAGCGTTCCGGCTGCTGCATCGCAAGGGCCTGGTGCGCAGCCTCGTGAGTACACGCTGCTCGCGGACTGCTGTGTTGCTCACGGCTGGGAAACTTTCACCGAATTTACGATTACTCGATACTGTTACTTGTCTGAGAGCTTTGATACTCGACAAGCTCCCTATGTTATGGTATACGGCAAATGTTGTTTGTTTTTTTTTGTGTATTTCTGTAAAGACGCATCTACCAAAGTGATTCAATCAGAATTGGAAAGGTATATTTTGTTCTTCATACATACATGCATTTACTATTTTCATATTTAAAAAACTATTGAGATGAACATTTCTTACGTTTATAAGTTTAATCATTCTTTAAGTTTATAAAAGTCCTTATTAAGGAAAACTAACATTCTCTTTCTGAATCCATTCTATTTATTTTTGGTCACATGTCAATCCAACAATCGCCAGTCAATCAACTCACACTTCCTTGTTGTTGACAGAAAAAAATAAGATAGAAACAAGGGAATGTGAAGGAGATAATTAACCTGTAAAATCAGAAGAAATAGGAAATAGCATAAAAAATTAGAAGGATCGCAACATTTCCCGAAAGTATCGATAGTTATCGATACCATCCGAGTATTGAGGGTATCGAGGTATTGAAAGTATCGAGGACCCATCCTTAGAGGAATTATAAACGACCTCGGGTTCGAGTCCCGGTTGGGGCAA